TTTGCAAATTTTTTTAGAATAAAACGGCCTGGACAGGTGTTCTGTTCATCGTGATACCACTAGCGTAATACTCTGTTAAACGCTCTATCCCTCTCTTTGCACGATACTTGCACGATACTTTGAACGAGCAACGAGCTTCCCTCTTCCATAAATGGAAACAGATAAACAGGAATTTTTCAATACTCGAAACGGCTAATTACGTTCGTAACGTAGAATTTAAATTGATTAAAAAAAAAGAAAAAAATTAAATTGATTTGTCGTTGGTTCGGACGAAGATCGATTAATTCTTAAAAACGATTATTTAAACGATTTGAAATGGAGGAGGAAATCCCCTTCGAAAGACTTTTCATTCGAAGGAAGGAAGGAAGATGAATAATCGAGTCTCCTGGGTGGTTACCGCTCCCTTTGTACGCCACTGATCTCTCTGATCAGCAGTCAGAGGATCGACGGGCCAGGTAGGCCGAGCGGAATTTACTGTCCAGCCTTTCCAGGGAAGACATAAAATAGTTGCAGGTGTATAGTCAGCCGACATAAACGCCCACGAGTATTCGCGAACGACGGCTACGAATTCTGCATCCCGATGCGAAACGAGATCTGCCCCAGGTTTGCACCTGCTTGCCCGCCCGTCGAGGACGTCGTTATCTCGATGAAAATCGATCGAGGAAATCGATGCCCACGCCCCTACTATCGCCCTTTGATCGAACGCGACAATTACAAATGCTATCGTGATGCTGTCAAAGATATTCCTTCTTTCAATTGTACGAATAATTTGAAATTACTTTGCTGATTGATCGATCTTTAAAGATTCTTGAAAATGGAATTTCTTTTCTTTCTTGAAGAAAGAGCAATTAGAAGGATACGATAAGAGCAAACGTTGAATTTTCCACGAGGGACGATTGTTTACGAGGTTCCAGGAGGCGCCAGCCAGGCGATCGTTTGAACTTGAGGTATTAAATCAATGTCTGCAAGGGACATTGATAACAGCAACGACGTCAAATCAAAAGTATGACGAAAACGTTAACGTTACGTCAGTGCGGCTACAAGTCTGGCCACGGATTCACCATAAAATATATGGTGCTAGTGGAGGCATAACGCGTTGAATACGAGATTTCTCGTCCCTTGCATGAATAAAATCGTTTATTCCTCGACTGACGCCGAATTAATTCAAGCGAGCCTCTCCTAGATTTTGGCATCGATCAGAACTTCAGCGACTTCTTACTTCGTCCTTCTTTATACTTGCGAACGAACATCGAGAAAAGAAGAAAGAAAGAAAGAAAAGAAAGGAAAAGATCTTCTTTTTCCATTGAGATAAGAAAGAAAATCGATGAGCAGCAATTGTAATTCTGTACAATTCTGTACATTTGCGAAAGCGAATTCGCAAAAAGCAAAAGCTGCTCTATGAGCAGCACACGGATGGAAAGATAAGATCGAAAGATGCGTGAGATCGGATATTCGAGGATTATTTGGCTCGAAAACGAAAGGGAGGAAGAGAAAGGAAGAGAGCGAGAGAGAGAGAGAGAGAAGTGGGAAGAAGAGAGGCGGTGAAGTTGTGTCCCTAAAGGTTTTGGACGTGCGTGTCACGTGCCGCGGGCCTCTGTCACGTGACTCGCGGCGCGGTAGATCTGCGCGGTGCATCATCATTGGGCATGAAGATCGCGATGGCGGCTGCCTTTTGAGCACGGCCTGCCATATTTCAATCCCACCCGATTTTTCCAACCCGCGAGCCGGACGACATGGAATGCTTGACAATTGTTCGCCTCCTATATATATATACCTGTATTGCCAACGTATTGGAAATACGCCTCGCTGTAGGGTGCATTCGTAACGACCGATTTGAAAGTTTAAACGAGCGCCGTAACGCCACCTCTCTGCCCGCCGTTCAAGGAACCGAGCTCTTTTCGTCCGACTTTCGCTTCCAGCTTGAATATTTCCTATATCGAGGGCGCTCCAGTTCGATCCACTTCTCCAAACAGACGCGTTCTCTTTGAATCTAGAATCCCTAGATCTAGAAACTCTCGTGAAAGGATTGAAATATTTCCAGTTTTTTTTTTCTTTTTTTTTTTAATTAAAAACGACGTTTGTTTTTTCTAACATTTTATTGTTGCTTGGAGGAAATAATGATTGATAATCGAGGGATCTAAGAGCGAGAAGAAAAGAAAAAAGGGATTGCTGTGACACAGAAAATTTTTATTATCCTTTTTGTTACATGAGCCATGGTCCGAAAGTGGTCCGAAAAGTATGGTCGGAATGGGTGTGTGAGGATCGTGCGGTTGTCCTCGGAATAGAAATTTCATCGTTTCCGAGATTTTAGCAAGTATCCTGTAACGCCCATATCCAAATATCTAGAAAAGAAAGTATTTTTTTTTTTTTTCCTTTTAATCAATTCTAAATAAAATTCAATTATCCTCTCGAGAGAGGAAATTGATAAGTAAAGTAGCTCACCTTTTTCGAAAATCTGAAATTTCCCGTTTTATTTGCGTTTTCTCCGAAGTGATTCGACTACCGTCATTTGAAACGAGCCTGGACACGACCACGGTGGATTTTTCTGGTGGACCGGTGGTTGCTGATGGAATGTTCGTCAATCGTTTACCCTGACGGCTCTCTTTCGATTTCCGTCTGACGTTCAGATCCGACGAAACGACAATTTCGTCAAACGTTTGCCCATAAACGGCTAGACGGCGCGCGAACAAAGCGAAGATTAATTGGAATTGAAATAGAAATGGTCGCTAGGGAAACGAGACGAGTAAGACTAAATTGTGCAAACCAATTATGGTTGCGCGTGCAACGCTATGATGAACTATACACCGTTGACTAATACTCGTTAAAATAACTAGAAACTTAGTCATCCGTGATAAATAGCTACGTTTCTTTATTGCACAATATTTATCAAACAAATATCGTTGATTCATACATTTCGTGGAAATAATTTCTTAGGATACTTCTACTCGCTTCTTTTTCAACATATACTCACGTTTTTGATCGGGCGTTTTTTGGGCGTGGACAATTATACAAGCCAGAGCGATCACCAGAAGGGACAGGAAATTTGTCATTTTGCCAAATTCGACCGAAATTTTAATTTTTCTTGCTAGATCCGAAATTTTATTCAAACCTAAAAGATGAAGAAAAGAAAAAAAAAAAATATTTAAAGATAAATTGAATACCAATCTCACAAAGAACTCTCTCGAATTGTAATTCTTTATACGACGCGTAATCCACGTTCCTTATACTTATCGCAAAAGAAAAAGAAAAGGAAAGAGAGGAAAAGTAATGTTTCCAAGAACAAAAGGAGCGGAAGAATTCTCTAGAAGGCAAGAATTGCTCAATTCTCTCTCTCGCGTCACGATACTATCACGCGTCACTGACGTATGCAAAACGTCACCTTTCGCAACCAACGGTGCCAGACTTCCCATACAATCATACACACAATACCCGTCCGCAATCGAACGCAATCGAGGATCGATATCTTGGGAAAAGAAGAAGCAATTCCCTTCCCAAGAAGAAAGGAAGTAGCGAAAAATTTGAAAGTCGAGATCCAAACCTTCCTTCGAATGCACAGCGTTATCTCACGTCACAATTCTCTCCCCGATCCCCGGGAGAGGAAGAAGCGGAAAGAAGGAGGAAGCTGTGTGTGTAGCGAAGGATTATTTGCACGCGAACTTGTGGTTGAACTCGAACTCGACTTACCGACAGACTCAAAGCCAGAAGATACTTTCCGAGCCGACAACCGCACGAGAAATGCGAGCACAATGCCGCGGAACGCTTGAAGAGAGCATCGCGAATTCGCTATAGTGCGTGGTGGAACAGGAACCTGGCCGGGGGTAAGGGTCCAGAAGGAGGCGCCTCGCGGCCCATTCGCGCACTGTAGATCGTATGCACCGGACAGACCACTTTCTATTTCATTTTTTCCCCCCTTTTTCTCGACCCGTCCGTCTCGCTCTCCTAAGGATCCGGCCGATCGACCGGGTCGACTGGTCTCTGCGTGTCCACCACCGGGCTAAACAATGCTTAACGACCACCGAGATGGACCTTTAACGAGGCCCCTTTAATGCCACGTCCACGGTGTCACGAACCTCCTCGGCTCCACCAACCGTGTCTCCATGGATATCGGCCTCCATTTCCTACCTTTTGTCTCCCTTTCCGCTTTCCTCGCCTTTCCTTAAATTAGGAAGAGGTTTCTTTCTTTTCCTCTTTCCTTTTCGGACAACCTTGAGAAAATCGCGTGCGTTTGATTGGAATCGGCGAGGCTTCGCTACGATGATTCTGGGACCGATCCTCGTCCTCGCGTATCGCGAGGATAGAAAGCGGTTGAATATTTCGGAGATTGGTTTCCTCCTTTGGAATTGGGTAAATTTTTTTTTTTGGGAGGGAGAAGTTCGAGAATCTTTTGGACAAGATTTTATATATAGAGATTCCAATATGATTTTGAATCGGGTTTTGAACGATTTGGAGATTTATTCATTACGGGAAAGATAATGATAAATATCGAAATAATTGTATTGGAAGCGAAGTAATTTGAAGAGTGGAGGGAAGAATCGTTTGAGAGAACGATCGAGAAATCAACAAAGCAAAGGAGGCTTGCACCGGGTATTACGAGCCAATCGCGAGCGGTTACGGGTTCCCAGAATAAAAGCAGCGAGATTTGCTACGCGAATTCCAAATGAACGAGTACCAATGTTTTATTGGCCGTGGCTTTTTATAGAGCAAACCGACGAGAATGTACAACTACTCTCTCGAGCTAGTTTCCCTCCATCTGAACGCGAGATGCATCAGCATCGTCTCCAAGGGAACGAAGACCGAACTCTGTGTGATCCAAATAGTTGTGTTCCAAAGTCTTGTTGCAAGAGAATTAAAAGAACGTTAAATAAAATTTCTCCTCTGAATTGTTTCCTTCGATTTCTTTGAAAAAGAAAAAAAAAAGAAAAGAAAAGAGAGAAAATCGGTTAAAAGAGAGAGAAAAGGAAGGAAAGAGGAAGAGGAGAAAACGAGAAAAAAGGCCACGCTTCGATTCCAAGAGCTTTTTATTCTCAATGAAACAAGCTTTCTCAGCGGAGAAAGTTCCAGACGGATGGATAGCGTGGAGGATCACGCGTGTTCACGAATCGGCTCCCTCCCGGTCATTGCACGCCTCCCTGCACGGATCCCGATTTTCGGTGTTCGCATCTTTTCTCTCTCTCTCTCTCTCTTCTTTTTTCGTTTTTTTTTTGTTACAGGGGCCCTCTTCCTCTTTTTTTCGCCTTCCTTTGTGCCGTTTAATCCCCAGCCCTCCTCCTTTCTCCTCGTCCCTCCGCCGACGAGAGGACCGCATCGCGATATTTTATCGGTTTTATTCGCGGGAACATCTGGCGTTCGGACAAAGGGAACCCGGGGCCCTCAGGAAATCTTCAGGAGGGTGGACCTGGCCTTCTTCGGCCAGGCTGCTCGCCTCTATTTATCCATAGTGATGCAGAATGTTTGTAAACAACGGATAGACGATCGACGCCATCTTGGATTAGACGAATTTCGGAGGCGATCCGTTCGCGGCTGGGAGGGGCGAAGTGAATCTGCGAAAAAATACGAAGAAAATTTGAACGATTTAGGGAACCAAGAAGATGATTCTCGTTCTTCGTTGTTCCATTATGATTCCATTCATATTCCCTCCTTGGATAATTTATAAACGAGATTTACAATTTTAAAAATTATTGGCCTCGTTTGAGTTTATTACTCGCCGTGATCCCTTTCTTTGTTTAAAGGAAGAAAGGAAGGAAGGAAGGAAGGAAGGGAAATGGAAGAAAATGACAGAGCGATTTCGAAAAACGTGTTATCGAGATCCCTGGAAGGAATCGTGGCCCTCGAGGCAACAACTTTTGTCCGCCATACGGAATAACAGGACTTGGATGGTGCGCAATCTAAGATCAGCATTTCTCCCGGTCTTAAGTTATACGCATGAATAAGCTTGCGTGTGTACGGTGTGGAATCACTTGTGACCTTTAACCCGTGTGCAGAATGACCCTTGAAAGGGAGAGGTGATTTGCATACGAGAATTTATTGGCCCCGTCGGAGCGCCGATGATAATGTACGTGTCCGGGTGATTGATACGATTTTAACAATTCATGACGCGGTTGTCGGCCGTATAATCAATCCTCGTTTACCGCGATTCGCCTCGTTTCACCATCGTTTATTTACGTTTATAACCGCAACAATCCCGTAGGTAATTCGTTCGGGTTTAACCAACGCGTTTCCTCCAACTTTCTCCTCTCGTTCATCTCCCATCTCGTTCACGAGAACGAGAGATTTATCAAACGCAAAACAGATGGAATTGCAACATTGCTAACGTCTCTCTCTCTCTACCGTTGCGTGATGTTTTTACTTTCGAAAGACCTCGAACGTGGCGAACTTCTCGAAGAAGACCCCTCCTTCGTTTCGCTTAAAAAAAGAAACGCAAGAAAGAAGCTAGATTTTAAAAACGAACGCGAAGTGTAGGCGCGTTTTCGAAACGAAAACAGACCGGTCCGATCGGTGGTGAGGAAGGTGAGGCGCAACGTGCTCGCCCCTGCGTTGCGACGCAGCAACATGGCGTATCCCTTGGATCCCTTTAAAACGAGTTAATCCGTCTGTCTGGCCGTCTGCCGATCGCCTGAGAACCAAGAAGATTCATTTTCCCTTTGTCCATTCTTTTTCACACGTACCAAAAGGAGCTGCGGCTCAATGGGACAATGCAGGCAGCGCCGCGCACGGTTTTACGACGTTTCTTTTTGCACAGGTCCCACACACATTTGAATAATCAACGCGTAGGCAAGCCTGCTTTTGTCGCGGTCCAAGGGCCAAGTGTTAGGAGAGGAGAGAGAGAAAGAGAGGGAGCAACAACGTGTCGGGGAGAACAAGAGAGAAGGGAATGGAATGGGTCTCCTCCTCGAAAGGCAGCCACGACACAAAAGTAACACGCACGATACGAAATGATTGTGTCCCATCTCTCGAATACTCTCGAACACTGGACCCCGAAACTGGACAGATGTTCCACGCTCTTCTTCTTCTTCTTCTTCTTCTTCTTCTTCTACTTCTTCTTCTTATTCTTTCGTTCTCGTTTCGAGTTGGATCGTTTGTTCCATCGATGTGGCAGAGGTGAAAAGAGTACGACGAGTACGCGATTACGTCAGCCGCTTTCTTCCTTTCCTCCTTTTAATTCGCGCGGGTTCGTTAACCTTCGTGAACTCTTCCTCTCCCTCCGCCGGGCTCCTTCGCCCAGCCTTCGTGGCCTTCCTCTCTTTGCCCGCGCGTCCCTTCCCATCCTCGTATCCGCGAACCTGGCCCTTGCCTTTTTCTTCTTCTTCTTCTTCTTCTTCTTTATTCTTTTTTACGCCGGGTGAACGATCGAGAAATCTCCTCCGGAGAAAGTCTCCTCCTTTGCGTTCGATCGGCAATCGCCTCTTCTTTCTCCTCCTCCGTTTATTTATCTTCTTCTTTTTGAGACTTGGTGTTGTAAAATTTGCGCGAAGGATATTTCCTCGAGAGAGGAAATAATAATAATAATATTAATAATAATAGTACACAACTCGCCACGATCGGACGATGATTCTGTCGTTTGCGCGAATAGTCTCGTAAAATCATGTAGATTTCTAACGGGCAAAGTTCGTTAACCCGACACGCGTGAATTTACGCACGCATTTCTCGAGAGAAGAGAGAGAGAGAGAGAGAGAGGGATGCCTCGAGATGGTTGAAACGAGCAATGAAACGTGTATCGAGCGTGTGTATTCGGACGTTTTACGACTTCCTATCGTTGCACGCGAGCCGTAACCGCGCGAGATCGCCTCCGATCTCTTCGAACGGGACATTCTCCCATTCTTCCTTCCTCTCCTCGCGTATCATTTCTCTCGACACGTTTCCTATTCTTGGATCGCGTGATCGTTCTTAAGTAAATCCTTGAACAACTATTAACGACCGAACTAATTAAAAACCAAGTTTAACCTTGAACCAAATCTCTCCTCTCTTAGCGCAAGGAACGACTTTCCACACCACATAAGTGTGTGAAAAAATACGAATCGAAAGAAGGCAAGATCCTTCTCTTCTTCTTCTTTTTTTAAGTTTATTCCAAGTTTCACCGTCCGAAGGAGAATCCCTCGAACACACGCATTTCTCTCGCCGCATTCGTTCTCTCAACATTCACGGCCTGCCAACGTAATTTCTATTGTTTCTTCCATCACGAATGGAAATGGTATCGCGGTTTATCCGTCCGCGGAGCAATTGACTCGCGTCCCCACGAGTTTGAATCGCTGTTTCCAGGGATCCGGGCACAATAGGCTTGCCCGATTAGCTGCATTTAGCACGCGATCGAGGGATGGGGGAGAGGCGATTAGTGAACGGCGAGAATTCCACGCTCGTAAACAGAAGCGTACGCGTAGGCATGCGCGCCTGAAGGAATTGCAGGAAGAGACACCGATTCGCGTCAAAGACTGATTCGTCTCGGGCCGGTGATGCGAGGTGGTGGTGGTGGTGGTGATGATGATGACGATGATGAGGCGCTCGTTGAGTTGCGACGCGCGTGCCGCGATTACACGCGCGCGCGAGAAGTCGATTAATATTCCCGGTTATGGGACACGAGCGGGCCTGCTTGTTGTTACACGTGTCCCGTGTAAGAGAGGATCGAGCGCGTACACCTCGCCTGTATGTGAGATTTCGAGGAAAGTCGAGATTGGAATTGATCGGGCGCCGCTCGTCCATCTTAAGCCGCGTTCTCGTTCAAGCGATGGATGGAATGGTGAAAAAAAGGATCATGATTTCGAGCAAAAATCGATCGAAATTGATCGTGTGCGTTTTAGGCCGCGTTCTCGTTCGAGCGATGCCGAAGGAAAATTTGGATTTCGTGTGAAAAAAAGATGGAAATTGATTGGAATGATCGAGTGCCGTATCTTATATCTTAAGCTGCGTTCTCGTTGAAACGATGGAAATGGAACGTGAATTACGATTTCGAGCAAAAATTGATCGAAATTGATCGATGTCGGAGGAAAATTTGGATTTCGTGTAGATAGAAAAAAAATCGTGAACTAGGATTTGGTATTATGAGATTTCGAGAAAAATTGATTGGAAATGATCGAGTTATATACCCGCGTTCTCATCGAAGCGATTCAGTTAAAGGAAAATTTGGATTTTGTGTACTTGATTGTACTTAATACAAGAAAAAGATCCCATAGAATTTTTGCTATATGAGTTTTCAAAGAAAGTGTGCAATTGATCGATGAATTGACGTCGCGCCATGCGCATTCTCCAGTAAAGCACGATGCCAGAAAGAGAAACATTCGTGTGAATAAAATAGTGAAGAGGATTGTGTGCCTGTGGTGGTGGTATAGGATTTCGAGGAAAGTTGATACGATTACAATTGACGGCGCATTTTAAACTGCGTTCTCGCGTTAAAGCAACCAAGTAGTGGGAGAAACGTTTGGATTCTGTTTTAGTTTCAAGGTAACAAGTATACACTGCAGGAATATTTAATACGTGATATAACAATATTAATAACTAAGCGGATATTGTTGAGACAAGAAATGATATAAGAATGTAAATTGAGAGAGGAATTATTATTATTATTATTATTATTATTACTATTCGTTTAAAAATTCATGTTCGGAAGATAGAGTGTAAATTACAATTGAAAAGAGAAGAAAAGAGAAAAAGGAAAACGGAAAAAAGATAAATAATTACGTTGAACGTCTTAAAAGCTTTGGCTTCCCGAGGAAGATTCGGCAACGTTGAAAGACGCAGAGTACGGGCCGAAATTAAAACTAGCACTCTCCGCGTTCGCTTGACTTTCCTCTATGGAAACACCTCCATTCGTGTTGATGGATTCTGCGGAAGATTCCGCGAAAGATTCCGATACGCTACCCTGTGCTGGATAAATTACAGGCTCTGGATACGCTGGCTTCGATAGGATCGAATCCGAGAATCCTTCATTGAGGAATCCGAATTGCGGCGATCGTTGATCCCTCTTGTTACCTGCGCCGAGATAAAAATCTACTATAAATCAATCTATTATTAATTGTATAATATAATCATTGACAGAATAGTTAAGTAATATTTTATCATAATAATAATAATAATAATAAGTGTCTTTAATATAAAGAAATGTAAAACGTTCTTTCTTTAAACTAACCAACTTCGGATGTCGCTTCTTTTACAGGGCTCAACGACTCCTGGCTGTGCAACAACACTTGGGTCGGTTTCGCGAGACAGATCTGGCAGATCATCGCGCACAACACGAGCAACGAGAGGATACGCGTCGTCATTTCGACGAGGGTCAAACGACTCGAGTGATCGGCGCGAGGAGAAGCGTGGAAAAATAATCGTAGGAATTCGTTGTGGACACGATGCTTTTATACGAGGAACCCTTCACCGCCGAAATCCAATGAAGACACTTATAATTCCGTCTCTAGAGATTTCTAGAGATCATGCTCGTCATTGGCTTTTAACGAGTGGACGACCTTACTCTCCAGGGACGAACGAAACTGAATCTCGAGAAAGTGTCGGCCTCTAATCAGCTTCGGGGAATCACGTGGTGAAAAAGGCAAAAAAAAAGAAAGAAAGAAAAAAAAAAAGAAAAGAATTCAGAAAAGAAAGATAAAGAGAGGAGTTGAATATTGAAAGACGAAAGATGTAAGTTAATACTTTAAGTCATGTTTTATTCAACGATCTCTTGGGAATTCTCGATGTTAAATCTGTCGTTCAGATAATTAATCGATTCTCCCATTCCAAGTTTCTTTTTTTCCTAGAATAATCTTATTTTTATTGAAACGATGTGTGTAAGTTGTTGTTGCTTACGAGAGAGTAGAAGAGTGGAGGGAAAGGAATAAAATAAAATGAAATTAATGGAGAAAAGAAGATTGCATGTATTTCTAAATAAATAACGAATTCACGTCGAATTACAAGAAATAATTAGTCTTAAGTTCAGTCTTGTATCTCTCCACAATAAGTCTACAATATACAATTTTTATTTTACATCTTACATATTATTATGTGTAAATGAATATAATCGTGTTTTACTATTAGTATTATTTTCTTACCTAACAAAATCATAGAAAGTTTATTCGAAGAATATAATTTATAAAAATCTTAATACATTTAATTTCTACATTCTAGAACGAACGTGTTTTGCCAATAATCTGGTAGAAGTGAAGCATGCTGTCTTCAAAGGGCAACTTGCACGAATTAACCTTCGTGTTCAATCCCGTGAACCTTTGTGGACGTAGATGATGGATGAGGCTAAGAAGTTATTTATCTTGATCTTTTGTCTCGAGCTTTCTTTTTGCCCTCGCTTCGAAACTGGAAAAAATTCCTGGTAAGCGATATTGAGATATCGATTGTTCCCCAAAAATTTTACAAAAAATAAAAAAAAAAAGAAATATTTCAATTAAGAATAATCAAACTCGTAAGAAAGAAAGAAATCATATCATTTACCTCTTAAGTTTATACATATACTTCTGTATTCGTTTGTATTCGTTAATCTCATTTTTGTTCTCTGAAAATATATATTAAATTCCATAAATATAATAAATCTCCAACTTACTTCTAGCCACATTAATTCTGAATAGGTAGAAGAGATTGTATATTGAGCACGAATCAATTCTTCAATTATTTATGAGTATGAATGAATAAAAAAAAAAAAGAAACACTTACTTTTCAACAGAGAAATTTCATTTTCGGAGGACTGAGAATCGATATCCATCGTTGCAGCGACGGCAAGGAATAACAAGATGAGAATGAAGCGACTTCGTCCACGTCCAGGATCTATACTAGAACTGAACGGATCCGAATTTCGAAACTTCCCTTTTAAAGGAGTTTCCTCGCCATTATGAGGGGAAATGTTTTCGAGAAATCGGAAATTTCGGCCAGGTAAAATCTTTGACCTGGCAGCAACCTTAGCTGGAAAGTAATTAAAGATCAATAAAGGGGATAACGGAACAATGGAGTTCTTCTAAAGAACTTTTCTTTCACGGTGAAAAATCGGAGAAAATCATTTAGAATGATTTATAAATATTTCGTGAAAGCAACGAAAGGAAACGAGTAAATAGTTTCCACGTGTTCGTTTTTCTAAGGAAATGTGAAATACGAATGAATGGGATTTTTTTCGATTTTTCAAAAAATTTTCAAAGTTAGTCGATCTTTAAGGATTGCCACGTGTCATCGTTGACGATTTCCACGTAAAGATTATATCGCGCGCAAATTATGCCTACGCGTTCGATATATAATGAACACGATGGCGGAAAATATAATGGAAAAATGAAGAAGTGACAGAGTCCAATAATAGTTATTTACGATCGTCTATTTCATCGTGAAACGAGCGTATTTGCACATCGACGAATATAGTTTCTTAAGAGAAATTTGTAAAAATCATCGTGCGCGAATTGATAAGAAAAGTAAAAAGTGCAAGAGTCTTAACTAAAGAGTTTGATGACTAAATGGTTCACTAAATGGTGAAGGGCATGCATTTAAAAATGGATTAAAATAAATTAAACGAAAGATTTCGTAATTCCGTCGCTTAACGATTCCACGTTACGTTTATCTAATAGTTTTTTAATGAACTAAGGTCAAAGATATTCGCTGATAGAAAAAAAAAGAAAAAAAAAAAAAAGAAAAGAAAGAATTTTAAGTTATATCGAGTTCTTGTACGGCGCAAATAAAAATAAATATACAATAATATTTATATTGCGTAAGAACGTGAAGTATGATAAAGTTAGGATAATAGATGGAAACTCCGTGGAAATCGTAAAATAAATGATACTTAATGCAAAAACAATTGTCGGTAATTACGCGCAAATTATGAGAATTCGCGTGCACGGGTATCAATAGGAGGAGACAAATATACCGACATATTTTTGATTTTTACTTCGTTTCTTCGACTGTGTGTTTGTACGACGAGATATCCGGTTCTTTACATTTACAACAACTAATTGAATATAATATCGTAAATTATTGTTTACATGGAAAAAAGATCGAATGGAGAAGAATTGAATTGTTTCGAAAGAGAAATAAATGTAATTGAATTTATTGTGGATAGAGATTGTAGGAAGATCATACGCCTTCGTATTTATTCGTTTATAAATTAATATAAAAATTTTTTTATTATTCGATAATTAAAATACTATATCGCAAATTCGATATTTATGATCGGATGTATAAAGATAGAAAAAAACATTATCTCGTTCGTATCACGGTTTAAGATTAGCTACGCTCGTTACGTTAAATATAATTTTAACGTGATTACGTACAAAGTTTTTTAATTACATACTATATCGCTTTATAGTATTAAGATAACGTTCGATCTTAAATATCTATTATAAAGTCGGAAGAAACGCTAATCATGTATCGAGTATTATCCACTTATACGATAAAAAACGATGGAAATCACTTTGAAAAGTTTTTAAATGGATTGATAAAATGAACAAATTAATATTCATAAAATGAACGAAGACAAGCTTAATATTCGGATATTAACGTTGGAAAAAAACAAAAAAGGATTTCGAGGATTTTCTCAAACGAAGAATGCTTCCTATATGCTTCATGTATTGGCAAGAATATTATCACAAATAATAATAAATTTATTTTTTGAATGCTCGACTCCAATGAAATTTCATTCATTATTCATTCAAAATAAAGTTTTCATTTTTAAAGATAAAGCGCAATAAAATTAGTTACATAACAACACATCGAATTGTAAAGTAATTAATTACGATTTCGATATTACATTGCCATGATCCAGCATGGCTAATCGCGTTGCGTCGATCGATGTTCGCGTCGATAATCGTTTTAAATCGATATATCTTTGACTCTTAACTTCATTGATGTGTTTCAGATCCTACAAACTACTATAAATCGGTAAAGTATCCTAAAAATCGAGTTTAAATGATGGCACGGTCCATGGCGTTCGTAATATTTCCACGATTAAATAATTCGAGAGAGCAAAATTAATTAAATAACGAATAGATCCGGATGTTTGGACGATTAATCGCTGAAGACGAGCAAACTCCTCGTGTCCACGTTGGCGGATGCAGAACTGGAGGCGAAACTGTTGCCGGATCCCGAAGATGCTTTGCTGGATGCTTGTGCATTCGCATTGGCCGATCCACTTCCTGACGACTTGGCGGACGATTTGGCGGACGCATTGCTACCAGAAAATCCTCTGAACGAGTTCGAATTTGCATTCGCGTTTGCAATCGCTTTTGAGCCTGAGGAATGGAGACGAAATCATTTAATTAGGACCACACCTAATTGGATTGCATCGGCCATGGATAACACACTAGCAGTGTCGCCTATGAAAGCAATAGCAGATAATGAATGAACGAGTTAGGGATGAAAAAATATGCCACGTAACAAAGTTAGATACTTGTTGCTTTTAAAATATGTGAGAGTTAAGCTTTTTCTTGCATGTAAATTGCAATTGACTTTTTGTCAATTATAAATGGATGCTTTTAGGTGTTAAATAAATTTATAGCAACTCACATTGGATGAAATTCGAGGCGAAAGCAACAAGGTTAGCTTAATTATAAATATATAAACGTACCTCCTGATCCACCTGATCCAGCAGAAGCGGAAGCTTCAGCCTTGGCACTAGCACTGGCAGAAGCACCTCCAAATCCGAAGTTATTTCCGTCGTAACCACCATTACCAGATCCACTGCTTCCAGCATTTGCCACAGCATCAGCTTTGGCATTTGCACCAGCGACTCCTGATCCTCCAATGCCAAAATCTGGTCCAGATGTTCCAAAATCTGCTCCATCTTTGGATGGTCCAATATTAAAACCATCGGATCCAGATCCAGATCCTGTATTTGCTCCAGCAGATCCAAAAGTTGGTGTTCCAAAGACTGGAGCACCTTTTGTTGGTACACCATAACCACCAGATCCGCTGCCTCCAGCGATTGCTCCTGCATTCGCTCCAGCATTTGCTCCTGCATTCGTTCCAGCATTTGCTCCTCCAGTTCCAAAGCCTGGTCCAGACGTTCCAAAGACTGGAGCACCTTTCGTGGGTACACCATAACCACCAGATCCGCTGCCTCCAGCGATTGCTCCTGCATTCGATCCAGCATTTGCTCCTCCAGTTCCAAAGCCTGGTCCAGACGTTCCAAAGACTGGAGCATCTTTTGTTGGTACGCCATAACCACCAGATCCGCTACCTCCAGCGATTGCTCCTGCATTCGCTCCAGCATTTGCTCCTCCAGTTCCAAAGCCTGGTCCAGACGTTCCAAAGACTGGAACACCTTTCGTGGGTACACCATAACCACCAGATCCGCTACCTCCAGCGATTGCTCCTGCATTCGCTCCAGCATTTGCTCCTCCAGTTCCAAAACCTGGTCCAGACGTTCCAAAGACTGGAGCACCCTTCGTGGGCACACCATAACCACCAGATCCACTGTTTCCAGCGTTTGCTCCTGCATTCGCTCCAGCATTTGCTCCTCCAGTTCCAAAGCCTGGTCCAGACGTTCCAAAGACTGGAGCACCCTTCGTGGGCACACCATAACCACCAGATCCGCTGCCTCCAGCGATTGCTGCTGCATTCGCTCCAGCATTTGCTCCAGAAGATCCAGTTTGATAAGTAGGAACACCTTTTGTAGGAACACCATAGCCATTGTTACCGGATCCAGAATTTCCAAATGTATTTCCCGTATTTTCGAATCCAGTTCCTCCCTCGTAATTTGTAGTTGGATTAATTGCAGGACTTTCTTTAACAGGCTGTCCGTATCCTCCACCTGTATTCGCACCAGCATTAGCATTAGCTCCTGCGTTGGCTCCTGCATTTGCTCCTGATCCAATGATCAATGGTCCCGTAGATACGTTCGTTCCATAGCTTCCAGGTTTACTTCCTTGGCCAGGATAAGTAGTAGGAATGGGCCTTTCTCTAATTGGTTTTCCAACAGTTTTTCCAGCGTTAATTACGTAATCTCCAAGTCCGTGAGAAGCAGGTTGAGATCCAGGATTGAGGAAAGGATTTTGCGCTCCGATTTGTCCTTGAGAGATAACTGCAGCATTAGCAGCAGCGTTTGCAACAGCGTTGGCACCAGCATTGGCACCTGCATTTCCTTGACTTTGTCCACCACCTAAAAATGGATTGCCCGATCCAGCAGTATAGGAACCACCTGGATAACCACCTGCACCTTGAGTTCCTGGCCCTGATGTTCCTGGATACGCATTTCCAAGAGCACCTGCGTTAGCTCCTGCATTAGCGCCTGCATTAGCGCCTGCATTAGCCCCTCCGGTTCCTTGAGATCCAGTCAAGAAAGGATTGTTCGTTCCGATGGAAGTAGTTGGAGCATTTCCAGGATAGTACCCTGATTCCTGAACAGTACCAGGATAGCCGTTCGCACCAGAGATTGAATTAGCTCCCGCATTAGCGCCCGCATTAGCGCCCGCATTAGCTCCTGCATTAGCTGCTGCATTTGCAATGGCGATGGCATTAGCATTTGCGTTAGCTCCTCCATAACCATTCTGATAGCCTCCAGCCGGATAGTCGATCGGTTGACCGTATTGAGTCTTTCCATCTTTAATTGCTCCTGCTGAAAAAGATAGTATCTATGAATACCTAAGGAAAATTTCTAATAATATAACAGTAAATGTACATGCTACTGTTGAATACAAGTATCTGTGCTATTGGGAACAAGATCTGCGTAAACATGCTGCGTTGAAAAATAATTACAACAGTTAAGTATCATTCCAGACTTTGGTGGATTCTCGTGTTAAATGTTAATCATACACAATGTTGAAAAGGGAACGAAACCTGTTCGATCTGTTTAGATTAATAACAATTCACACAAATTGTACATATATCTCGAGTGTATTAGTATCGATCCGATATATTTACACGAAAAAATCCTCTCCTTGAAATGACAGAGAATAGTTTCTCGCAAGAGCAATCAATGCGATGTATCATCGTGTCCATTTTACACATCGTCCGTCGATTATTCAAACGACAGATATCTAAATCACCGATGCGGCATAGCGATTGCAATCGACAATCCTCTTCAACGTTCGAAACAATGTTCTTTAGTCACATGTGCAAATCAGCATCCAACATCCGTTCGAGGCAGCTCACCTTGGCTATGATATGCCGGGTCTTCGATCACGATCACTTTGATTGTCTCAGGGTCGTGACCAGGTTGTGGATTCATCGGCCTCTCGAAAGGTGGCCTGCCCAATGGTGGTGACCTACCGAATGGCGGTGGCCTACCGAATGGCGGTGGATTACCGAATGGTGGTGGCCTACCAAATGGTGGCCTGTCCAATGGTGGCCTGTGGACCGGTGGTGGATCTACGATCACTACCACGATCTCTTCGTCGTCATGAGGACGATAAGGAATCTGTGTGAATCGAACCGGACGCATCTCGTTATCAATTATTTCAGAGCTTCGATAATAATAATGATAATGATGATGATGGTGACGACGACGACGAGGAGGAGGAAACTCGAGCAAAGCATGTACTTTCAACCTCTCGATTCTGTATTCTCCATCTCGATGGGGGAATTGAATGAGAGGAATTGAATCAACGAATTATTTTGGAATGTCGATTTGATTGAGAAACGATTTATACCTTGCTACCGGTCACCGCGTTGTTTCGAGTTCCCGAAGAATAATATCCATTTGGTAATTCCACGCCACCGTTCAATTTCGAATTGTCGATCGGACCTGCATCGCTTTTGATGATTCCAGGTTTATAGCCGCTCGTTACACCATCGATAATATTTGTCTTTGCATCCGCAATCGCACCACCATTGCTCTGCGATCCTCCGGGAGCATAGTAATTACCGGATGATCCTATCCCACTAATAGAATTTGCTTTCGCATCCGCGCTTGCGGTTGCGCCTGCATTAGCTCCAAGATTTCCAGGAGTGTAATAACCCTCGAGTATTCCCGCGCCATTGTTCGCAACACTTTTAAGATTCGTATTTGCATTGGCACCGGTATCAGATAGATCGTATCCGGGAGAATAATAATTGGTCGCCGGCGATGCACCGGTATAAGAAACGTCATTCGCGTTGGCGTTCGCACCTCTGTCCGCATTATCATAGTTCGCGTTTGCATTAGCAGCGGCGCTCGAAACGGTATTCGCAGCGTTATAACCATAGCTCGGATTCGTGATCGACTGAGAACCACCGGGGCCACCGTATTGTTGCACGTCTGTCGGGACGTAGTAGTTGTTGTGACCGATGTTAGAACTATAATCTGGAATGTAACGTGGAACCGATGTGACACTCACGTCCAAAGAAAATTCGATTCGAGGAAAAGATCGGATTACCGATAATTTAGGGGATTTTCTCTCCTCTCTCTTTCTCTGTAAAATTTCACTCTGCCCGATCGAACACCGATCGTTACCGAAAAATATTCTACGGGATATTTTCAAGGGGATCATCCAGAAGAATGTTATAATAATAATCGATAATATAATATTTCCGAATGTCGAATACCTTGAGCGTTGGCTACCGCGCTAGCGTCAGCTTTTGCAGAGCCTTGCCCGAAGGCTTGAGAATTCGCCTTGGCAACGGAGGTAGCACCATTGCCTTCGGCCGTGGCCGAAGAGCTGGCCAAGCTGCTCGAAAAGGAAAGTGGTCCTAGTTGTAGGTTGCTCCCGTACGAGTGCGACGAGCTCGAGCTCTGTGGTTCCTTCTTGTGGAACAGTCCCAGCGGGTCCAGTATGCCTGCTACGCGCTTTTGATGATCCTTCGCCAGATCGAACAGTACACCTGTAATGAAACGAGATCGAGCCAACTTGTTTAAAATAATCGAGCGAAGTGAAGACAAACTCTGTCAAGAATTAAGACACACCGCGACGAGAATGATCTTAATTTCGTTTCTGACATCGTTTCATATACGAAAAAAAAAAAAAAAAGACAACTACGCGAATTAAATGGTGTCACCATCACCGTGACTTTTCGAAAAGTGATCCAAAAATAAGAAATAGACTCACCAGGTTCCGCGAACGAACTTGCGAGGTACGATAGTACCATAAACGGCACAAAACACTCAAGATACCGCATTTTTCCTCACGCTGCGTGCAATAACGTTCTAGAATATTTATATTTATATATATATATATTACACGCAATATCCACGAAACGAACTTCTATCCGTCTCGCCAAAACTCGCTGCCTCGGATCGATAATCGCTGTGTCCGAAGAGTCAAGAACGACTGAAGCTGTTGAACGAGACAACAACTTATATACGAGGCACATACGAGGTGGATTTTACGTCGGTCAATAATTGATCGTCACTCATCGCGGATCATCGTTCCTCCTCGATTTTTCTCCCTTCTCCCACGCGAAACGTAGCTTCACGTTACCGATCATCAGACGCCGATCTTCCAAATATCGTCAACGTCTTCCACGAAACGATGAAAGGGGAGACTGGATCGACCGGTGATCTCCGTGGCGGAGGACAAAACTTTCGCCGGATACCGTTCGACACTGTCAAGGTCTAATCGAACTGTTTCGCATTTTTCCATGCAATGGGTTATTCCTCTTGCTTGGAATCCCGCTACTGAATCAACGGATTCGTTCTCGATCTAGATTCGAATCAAAATTATCGAAGAAATTCTCAAAATTGTTGGCTATTTGTTTAAAAGGAAATAGTTGGGTTTCGTCATTGATTAAGAGATAAATTTTGTTTTGGAAGAAGAGTGTTTTAGCGGAGGATAACAGGTCCAGACCTGTTAATTTTATTATTCGGATACCGGGAATGGTTGTTGCAATCTTTTTATTCCGCGCTCTTGACCAAAGATTCGTAATTTAAGATCGATTATTTGAATATTTCGAAGGATAATAAAAAACTTTTTGGTATATTTATGGTATATTGTTCGTTGAAAGAATCGGTTTCGTAATTGAGTATAAATGTCATCGTATTTCAGTGCATAATAAGGAATATCATATTTGTATGTGGAGTTGTGTGTGTGTGTGTGTGTGTGTATCATCTGTCGATGGTGGACGAGAACGTGTGGAGATTGTTTGACATTATAATATCGTTATGTAACAGAAACCAGATTTGACTCGAAGTTAATTCGAAATGAAGATAAGAGAAAACTGAAGATACAAATAATCAGTGGGAATAAAACGGGGGAATAAATGTATCTCTTAGAGACAAATTGAATATACGCGATACGTATATATTATTGATACAATTCATCGAGGTTGACGATTGGGAGCGAAATATCGTTTAACAATTTATAATTTTAACTCGATGGTTTCATCGTTGGATCAACAAAGCGATTAATATCTATGAGTAAGTTGCGTAGGAGAAGGTAGGAAGCTTGGAAAAAAAGGAGATATAGAAACGAACATCCGGTTATCGAAGGCACCTTGGACAAGTTTGTAATACATTGTAATCCAACTGTGGTGGTAAGGATGGAATGATTGGAATGATTTCGGAATTGGAAGAAATGGATTGTTCCGTTTCCAAGAATCGTTGACGGAAGAAAATCGTTGGAGGGTCACTCGTGAGATGATCGATAAATTATTCTAGACGCGAGAATGTTTGTTTCTCACCACTGGTTATCGGTTATTAGATAATTTTGTGGAATTTTATAAATGATGTAAGCGTAAATCGGTTGACGTAATTGCATTAACATAGAGGAAAAAATTCTGATTAGCGGTATTTCTTTGTGAAGAATGGGAAAAAATATTTGAGAATCTTTGCAAGATTTTTTTCGACGATCGTAAATATTATGTAAAAATAGGATAAAAGGATATTCGTAATGCGATAGAATAAAGAATTGAAAATTACGGAGGAAAATCCAGACGATGGAGCGATAATCGCGATATTTTTGTTGCGAACGATGCGATGCGATGAGCGTTCTCTTGCAATTATGACGTCTCTTGCAATCTCTTGACCCCCATCCATATCGATATAATTAGGTCAAGAAATTTCACGATCGTTAGATTTAGAGAAAGAAAATGTGTTAATTCCTGGAGGAAAGATCGGTTCTGACGATTTCAAAAATACTTTGAATTTTATCTCATCTTTTTATAGAGATGACATCCATTAAATTTTATTCTATCGTTATTAATTATAGTGAACTTGGAAGAGATTGAAAAAAAATGTCTCTCCTTTTCTAGAAATTTATCCCTTCTATTTTTTACGCTACCTAAAAATTTGTGTTCAACGTTTTTTATCTTCAACAACTAGTCTTTCTCTCTCTCTCTCTCTCTCTCTCTCTCTCTCTCTCTCTCT